CATTGCATTGCAAGTGTCAGTATTGTGCCTCTGTCGTGCGAGCGGCGTGATCGCTTCCTATAAAAACAGTAATACGCTTGAAACGAATTAGGCCCTGTACACACTAGGCGTTTTTCAACGCGCGTTTAACGCCGAGCTAACGCGCGTTAGCTTGGCGTTCGACGAGCGTTAGTTCGCCGTTTAGCACTGGTTCAGTTTGGAAATGGACGAGAAAGTAATTGATTGTGTGTGCTCCTCCATCGTCGCTATAAGGCAGCACATATATCTCAAAGCGCCCGTAAAGTGCCCGCAAAACGCGCGCTTTAACAAAAATCTATAAACGCGCGTTTAACTCGCGCTTGGCGTTTCAGTGTGTACGGCTACATAGAACTCTTGGTTCATTAAAACGCGCGTTTAAAAGCGCGCGTTTAACGCGCGTTGAAAAACGCCTAGTGTGTACAGGCCCTTAATGATTCGATTATTTACACACCGATCAAGGAGAGCCATCGACAATTTACGATCCGTTTGCTTTCCACACGACGAAACGAAACATGTTTCTTAAATTCTTTTTCACCACGTCCACTGACCGCAACCGTCATTCTGTTCGTGACACATTTGTGGCAACAGCTTCGCTTTTTAACGAGAAAGTGTAGACGGAGAGATTTCCATTATCGGCAACAACAGATGCGGCGATATCTTTACGCGATAGTCGATAAGGCAATCTGCAATGCATTAAGGTGATGTGCCATAGTGTAATGTTTAGCACTCTGGACTCTGAATCCAGTGATCCGAGTTTAAATCGCGGTGGGGCGTTTTTTTCTTCTTCACCCCTGTCAACGTTCATATAATTGAAGGCGACAGCGACAGTAGAATTCAGAAACTTTTTTTGCTTTGAATTTAGAACAGAAACTCTGCTTCACACACGTGCGGCGAAGCAGAGTTTCTGCTCGACACTTTGCAACGTTTCCATATGTTTATTCTACTTTAGCGATGGTTTCAAAGCGGAATTCAACATGTTGCAAAGTTCTGACCCAATTAGCATTACTGTTTCGAATCAAAAGAATTACAAAATGTCTTCCAAACGTTTACGTCACACTAAAAAAGACATTTTCAATCAANTTTCCGCAATTTTTTTGGCTGTCAGATTCGCCTATGGATCGAAATAATTATTTAATATAAAAAAATCAATTACTTGGGGAATTTGTAAGTAGCATAATGGGCTGCACAAAAACACTTAAGAGGTTAATAATCCGTGGTATTTTCGGAAGTCATAGTAGACTTAATTTGGTATGTAATGAGAAATATAAAAACCGACAATTGTTCCGGTTGGTTTTAACGAATTTTGGGATAGTTTAAAGAAAATAAACATTCCTAAAGAGTGAATTGGAAACAAAGGTTTGGCAACATTACCCCCAAAAAACACACTATCAACTAGCATTGATCGAGGCTCCGGAAAAAATTTTTTTCTCTTAGACTATTTATTTCATCAGTGGAAAAAATCTAACAGGAAGAGGAGGAAAAGTCTCGAATGGAAGAACTTTTGAAATCGATATACTATAATTCTAAATCTCTTGCATCTTTTAGTGGTGTGAGTAAATTAGTCAGAAAGTCTAATTTACCGCGATCTGTTGTTAAAAATTGGCTGTCTTTTCAACTAATTTATACGCTTTATAAACCTGTAAGAATTAAATATTCACGAAAAAAACTAAAAGTTTTTATCCTTACGACTTGTGACAGGCTTATTTAATTGTATTAAAACAATTTTCTAGATTTAATAATAGAATAAAATATTTACTAACTGTAACGGAATAGTATATGTTTTATCTTTTAGTTTATCTCTTCTAATTTCATGGAAAGACTTCCTTGATCCGATTCCTGGTCCATTCAACATGGATCATGTCCTTTTAAGGAGCCTTTTGAATAAGGAAAACGTTACCTCACAGAACCAATTGAGGAATCTCTTTCCCTTTAATGAAGAACTTGGGATTAAGATTGTCAACATTCATGCCCAAATCGATATTTGCCATTTTGTCTTTACTGATGTCTCTTCGACATCGTAAATAATAAAACCTCGTATGGCGCTTTTTCGGCAGTTGGCAGAGGTCTGCCTCATTCGACGCCTTCTTTTCTGTTAATTCCTTTTGGAGTAGGCCTACTTGAATGTCCCTCTGGGAGGCGACCTCAGTAACAACTGTTCCTCCTGACTCGGCGGATGTTCTTCACCCCTACTTTTAACTTGGCAGGGCTGATATTTTCTTTACATGGTCACGGACCGCGTCGCTATTCTTTTTCCCATTCTTGGGGTACGTGAACTGTCAGGGTTAGGAAAGGCTTTCACGTTGGCTTACGGGGTTCACTTGCAACCTTTGCATAGGTTTTCTTTTTTGCCATAAGGAGAATTTAGCTTACTGCTCTACTGGGACTTTGTTGATCGATTGGTGAAACAAGGGCCACCTTCCCCTTTCTCGAAAGGCTCTGACTTCTGTCTGTAGAGCTTTCAATTCGCTTGTTTGTTTTAGTTATGGCAACACTTGGGCGATCTGCGTACAGGAGATGCCTTCCGGGAGGGCTTTTAAGGGAAACTGGCCCCTATTTAGGCGTTACAGACGTTGAGAAAACCCAGAAAACTCCACGTGGCCAGCCGGTCCGAGCGCGGCTCGAATCCACGATCGAACTCCCAGTGTTCAGGGAACGAAGACAGCTTAGCCACTGGTGGGTTCTTCTCAACTCGCACTCTTGCCGCAAGACTAGTGAGGTTGCTCAGTTCTGAGCATTGAAACTGCACCGCGGCAGTTCCTTCTTTCCTTTTATCAGAGGAAAAGTCTTTCTCCTTACTGGCCGATAAAAAATTCTGTGATAAGTCCGTTTATATATATAATAAATTTATATAATAAATTTAAGAAATAATGGTAAAACAGACTTATCACAGAATTTTTCAGAAGCATCATTATATATTCAGCGGAATATTCCAGTAAAATATTTCTCGGAAAGAAATAATTATGAAATGTTAATTACAGAACTTGCAAGAATATTATGTTGTTGCATTTTGTAAATAAATAAACATTGAGACTATGATTTCGATTATTAAACAATTTCTTTGTGACATAATCCTTAATAATATGTTAAAGTTTATTACCAGATTAAGTAATCTGGTAATAAAGTTTAACATATACATTCAACTTACATACATTCAAAATATATTAAATTAATGTTTTCTTTTGTAAAACAAGTTATTACCCAATATAATTCCTCCGATAAAGTAATCAAATATAATCAAAGTGAAGTATTCTTTAGGAAAATATTTGAAGAGGAAAACAAATAACTTCAAATGTAATCAAATCTAACAATTGAATTCCATTCGTAGATTAACTTCAGATTTGAGGTGAGATTTATACACAACAATTCTCTTAATAATTCAGATATATCTAATTTAACAACAAATATTATTTATATCTAGAAGTAACTGTTTAATAACAAGAAACAAAATTCGCAATTGTATAACTAAACAAATAGATTGATGGGTACACTGTTTCACAAAGACTAAAAAAAAGCTAAAAACGGGATAATTAATAATGTCCACAGAAACTCTGCATATATCTTTTCATTGTTTAAGAACTTTATAAAACATTCCTTATAAGTGTTAGCATGAAATTCGAAAGCTACATGGTCGACCAGTGCCAAGCGGTTCAATTCTCTAAACACTGAAAGTTCGGTCGTGGACCATGACGAGCTTGCCACGTGGAGTTTTCCGGGTTTACTCCACGTCTGTAACGCCTGAATAGGGGCCAGTTACATTTAAAAAGACCTCCCGGATGGCATCCCCCTAAGCAGATCGCCCAAGTGTTGCGTTGCCATAACTTAATAAAAACAAATCGAAAGCTACATAGACAATGTTGTTCCTATATTGAATGGAGAAACTATTCATCGCGTAAATTATTTCAGCGCATTTATTTGAATTTTTACAATATACCAGTGACGGACTCGGCACGCACACTCTGTCTCTTAAACTTTAGAAATAATTTAAAAATCAAATTTTGTTAAAATATCCGTATTCGGGGAATAATAAGAAATGTATATATTGAAACATACTATACAATCAGAACTAAAGAATCATTTAATTAAATATGCTACATTTATATAATAACTTATATTCAATTATTATATATTATGTATTTGCACATCAATTACTTTTCCATTGATATATACGGATAATAGGATTATTACGATGGAAAGCAGTATAAATATGTCATACATGACTATGGAATGTCTTAAATTATCAGGAGAAGCAATATAATAATTCCTAAGTGATTTCTTAATAAATAACCATAAAATCAATGTTCACGATTTTATATAATGCTGATACGTTATATAACTTATCGTCAACCGGATATAACCACGTGGCACTTCTTTAGTAAGCGAGCACTTACAATCTCCACATCAGATACAAATTATTAGGTTAAATGGCTGCTAGTTGCGTTTATTGTATGATATGCCCAATATTTAATCTCTCTGCACTTTTCGGAAATATATTCTATACGCGTTGCAAACATCAAGAACTTAGCGAGAAACAGAAGAAATGGTTGTCCGTTTACGGAAAATTGGTACGTTTATTGCTTATTACGCAATTGACTACGTTAACCGTGCAGAGATTTGCAACAGCCGACGATCCATGGTTTTGTAGTCCCGCAAAAACAATGGCAGGAAGCGGTTTAAATAAGCCTTTCCGTTTGATGATGGTTTATCTCGCAAGCTTTGGCACACTTTTAATGCTTCATACTGGCGCAAAATATAAATTGTCTTTCGACTTAAAAATTTCAGGGTATGACGGAGAAAACGAAAAAATGAATAAATGGCAGATAAGAACGTCTTATTTGTCTGGGTCTTCGTACGTTTGTATATTAATCGGTTTAGTCGCATTTTCATTTTACGTATTTAAAGCAGTAAATGAGGGATCAACTTGGAAACGGGCTCTTGTCTGTTCCGTTTATACTCATTTCATTTTGATTTTGGAATCCGGATTTTTCATTTGGATTGTTACTACAATCGTGTTATTAAGCGTAATGCTGTACGAAAGATTTAACGCATTATCACAACAGTTGAGTTTGTTTGTAACCCAAAATCCAAAATACGAAATTAACGATATAATGCGAAAACACTTGGAGCTGTGCGAATTAATTCAAGAAATGAGCGATAAATGGGGTAATACTTTGTTAATTATTTACGGAATTGGCGCTTATCTTATGTGCTTTGCTGTCTATAACACAATATTCACTACATCAGCTACATACCTACGAAGTTTTTCTTCTACTTTCTTCCATTCTCGGCATATGCTCGGTAGTGTCACTTTCATTTGTGATATCTCGTATCTTTGTATCGGTAGGTTCGAAATAAAATATTAATTTTACTTAAGTATAAAGTAATTATTATTCCTTAAATTTATTTCTAATTATCGACAACAGGCTTACGATTCTTTTCAAGAAATTAGAAAATTTAACTTGATTCCTCTTCCGTTGAAAGTCAATCTGAAGGTAACTCAAAAATTTTAACTTTTTTAAAATTTTAAAATTAGAAAACTGAATTTTTATTCTTAAAATTATCTACAGATATTGAATTTTATGAAAAAATTTGGCGAAATCGAAATTGGAATCAGTTGTGGAGGTTATTTGATTCTTTCTACAGAATTTCCAATTCAGGTATTTTTATTTGATTAAAATAATTGATTGTATGATATGGCATACTTAAAAAGCGTGATTTTTGGTGTTTTTTACCAGAGGATTTAGGAATAAAATTAAAACTTAAAGAATTTATTAAAAATAAATGAATAAATAATTATTTTATTAAAAAACAATACTTTATGGTGCTCTTAATTTCTATTCATTCTGACTGTACTTTTTACATCATCCTCTAGAGAATCTCTAGCAAAATCATATGCCATTGATTATATAAAATTTTTATAACTTTTATAAATATGAAGTAACTTTTTTTAAAATTTAAATGTAATAAAACATTGTCATTTTATAGATGTATGAATCGCTGTATAGTGTTTTCAACATATTACTTAAGTTACGAGATACCTTCGAAGGAATCGACAAATCTTGTAAACCAGCTACTAATTCATTGCTTGTTAATTCCACAAATAATCTCAATATATAGTCTAAAACTGTAGAATATATAAATTGTTTAACACAATTATTCCAGAAAAGTGTCATATAACTGCAGATTACCTGCTCTTTCTGCAACACAGTGCACTTATATCTGATATATTGATTTCATGTGGTAATTGTTTTTATAGATTACTTAAATGACTCAGTAACATCAGGCAACAATTCATCAAAAGTACTGTCATGCCACAATTTCATTCATCACGATAACGTCTCAATCTCAATAGTATAGACAAGCATTCGGTCTAATACCTCAACCCATACAGTGCAAGATAAATTTTGTAATACGCGAAATATTAATTTTTTTTTTATTCTTTGTGATCAAATATAATAATTAAATTACTATAAGTTACGAGAAATTTGTTTATTCTATCCTGTTCATTGTAATTTACATTATTATTACAGTATTATTAACATAATTATTCAAGAAAATTTAAGTTTAAACTGAGTATAATGGTGCATATTTCATGGGGACCAGCCTATATTCTAAGGAGAAACTAAAAACAATGTTTAATGGGAATTATGAATTGTGCAGTAATTAATTGTCCAATTCTGAGTTTTATAAGTATTTCTTTGTCCTGCTTACGTTAAAGTTAAAATATTTATCTAAATTACACAGTGTACGGTAAATTACCTGTTGAAAACTGAACCTAAATAAGAAGAAACCGGTCTAAAGGAAAAACATTCTTTACAACGAAGAGATTTTTCTGTTAAAAAGGACCTGTTTAAAACGGAAGTCTACCAAAGTATAATAAACCGAATAGCACGATACCTAAACTGGTAAATTTATTAAGTACCGAGCGATTCGGTTTACATTTATTCGGCCCATGAAAAAAAAAGCTATGGAAGGAATGTTGGTAGGATTTACCATTTGTACTGAACACATACTGAATGGAATATTGGGCGTCAGAACTACTTCCTGAAACTCAAGATATATAAATTAAATGGCCTAACAAGAAGAGCAAATTCACTCGACTCTTAAACAATATGGGTTTACTTATGTGTTTATTGAAGTGTTTTTCATTCAATAAATTGTAAAATTGATTGAAAAAAAAATAAATTACTCATTTTTTATCAATAAATTATTATTATCGCAGAATTAATAACGTTTAACGTTCATGATTATCCGAGATAATCACGAAAAAACTGTATACATGTGATCACAGTGGAGAATGATAGAATTTTAATGTATTCATTGATTTAAATGATTATAAGTTTAATTTAACAATGACAAATTGTCAACAATTTGATACGATATAAAATTCACTATAATTAACAAAGAAAAAAGTAATTTTTCCCTCAAATAAATAAATAAAATTCAGATTCTTTTCTCTGTAAAGTATGTATTACCATAAAGCAATTCCTATCGGAAAAATCCTTCGTCAAACAATCAAAGCTGATTAACATAGCGATCTTTAAAAAAAAATACCGAAATGAAAATAAATCACATGTAAAACATACCTAAAAATTCATAAAAATGAATTACACAATGCAAATCATATGAATGAGACAAGTAATAATTTAATGTAAAAAAAAAATCAAATTTTTTAGCCGAATTTCAACATTTCTGCCTATTTATCTCACAAAACAAAAGAATGCAAAACATCATTATTGTATTTTCTTTTTGAAGCAATTCAATCATCCCCAGAAGAAAAGGCATAATCATTTTTCATACATTTATAACACTAGTATAATGTGGAATGAACTTCCAGATTTTTCATGCATGAAAAAATTTGCATTTGCTCTTTTAACTATTTTCGGTACAATGTACTACTATGAGCAAACATCCCCAATGATGAAATATATTATAAATCCGTAATTGTTTAAATGATAAAAATTCGGAAGTGTGCATAAAATTAAAACCTTCAACTATCAACTAAATATTGAAGTGTTAGCTTCAAAAGTTCAACCTCAAGGGAGTCACTAATGCTTAGTTTATTATAGTCAAACAAATTTTTCTTAACATAGTTTCGCTAATTTGATTACAGTGATTTGCGGAGTGTCCACTTTAAAGAAAATTATGTGGCACTCCAGTGTATTTAGGTTGCGACCACTGCTCTATGCAGTGAAATTTGAATAGTGCATGAAATATTTTTTCGTTCACCTCACTTAGGGACTTTACAGATGGCTTAATTAGTCCACTGTGTGACAAATATTCATTTCCTGATCCCTCTGCATTTTCGATTTCTTATGATTCTAGTATGCAGGTTGATGATGACTTCTTTTTCTTAAATTTTGATTTCACAGCTGAGGTGTGTGAATGCCTCCTCATCTGATATTTTGTATGCCCATGCAGTTGATAAGTCGGAAGCATTTTTCATGGTAACCAGTCTTTTTTTTTTTTTTTTTTTTTTTCATTACAGATACCATTTGCTGGCTTGTTTCACAGTGCACTACTGTATTTATTATAAAAATCTCAATTTGGTTATTTGCAACATTACTCAAAATGAGCCTTCATTCATAGTAAAAATTAAAACAACAACTAAACCCTCAAATTTATAAAATTTGACATAATAAATAAAGATTACTATAAGTTTGTGTTAAGAATAATGTCCTAAATTAAAAAATTGTAGTGGAAATACTGTAGTTCTCTCTTACTGCTTGATTCAATCATTCTTGATACAAAATATATATATTTCATTGCAAATGCACTATAAGTTAAGAAGACAAAATGATTAAAAAGCTATTATCTGAAAATAATCAGCATTTTATTTGATTCATGATTGTGATGAAATTGCACATTTTGAGAATGAAATTATATACAGATATTTAAATATTACAAGTGTACATTATAATCCTTTTCTCATTTTGCTGTCCGGATTTCTTCTAGTTGTTTGCGATATTGCTCTGCTTCGTGTTCCTTCTGTTGCAGCTGGGTCTTGTATTTCTCCGCCTGTCTTCGAGCTTCATCTAGTTCTCTCTGTAATTTTTCCTTTTCATTTTCAATATTATTCTAAAACAATTTAATACATAAGATAAGAATAATTGTTTTGATTCTAGTAAATGTAAATACAGGCATACCTCACTGATATGGTGGGTTGGATTCTGGACAACCATTGTAAAGCAAAGTGTAGCCTTTTTTTTACTTGCCAGTGTATATAAAAGCCTAAGAACATATTTACACTAGCACTAGGCCTAAAAACACAATGCAAAAGCAAAAATAATCAAAATATCCTGAAAATCCTAAGCTAGTGTGAGGCAAGTGGCAAAAGTAATAAACATGAATTGCAAAGTGCTCTAAAGTGAAGCGCCTTATAGCAAGGTATGCCTGTACAGAGTAAAACTTTTTAAAGTAACATTTGGAACAATTTTTAATGTGACAAAACTGCAATAAGTGGACTACCAAATTAGGTAGAAAGAATTATTATAATTACCATAGATGTCCTTCCGTATGTTTTTATTGAAGACTGTTGGGATCCTTTCCTAAGTCTCTTGGCAGGTGATTCTATACAGTTTCCTTCAGAGTTTCCTGTTAATGAAAGAAAAATTCATTAAAAGGAGACATAAAAACTATAAACATATTTCAGAATCAGGTTAATAATAATAAATACCTCTGTTTTGTGATCCACTCACAACCACTACAGATGATGGAGGAGAATTATTTATAATAGAAGGTAATTGACCTTGATCAGCTAATATAGTAATAACTTTCTACAAAAAAAAATCAAATAAAACAAATTAATTTATTTATTATAATTTAACTGTAAAGATAATGTTAAAGACCACTAATTTACTTGATTTCCACTGGGCGAAACACTTTGTATACCATTGGAACCGAGAGCATTTTCCGTGTTTTGCGGAACTGATGGGTTCTTCGCCATATTTTGTTGTTCTTTCACCCATGTGAGTGCTAATCTTCCTGCCTCTGAAAACAAAAATAATTAAAATTAACTGGATTCATTAAAATCTCTATATGATTGAGAAAAAGGAAGTAATTGTATGAGAGTATAATATTATTTACATTAACTGAAAATAAAATACTGTCCTAACTTCCATAATTTTGCACCACTGAAAACTTAAGTAATTCCAACTGTTTCACTTGAAAATGTAGTTTTTAACATACCAATGATTTACATCTCATTTTACTATTTGTAACAGAAAAAATAAAATTTGAATTCGTAAAAATTTCCATATTATTGGCTATCACCATGGCCTAGAGATGGCATGCAATCACATATGTTACTGTATATTAAAATGGCTATCTGACAGGAGAGTATATGAAATACTACACATGTCAGAAACAGGAGTTAGAATTAGTGCTGTGTAAAGGGTAAGGGTTCATTTGATTAAATTGCAATTACATTAGTCTATAATGTAATTGCAATTTACATTTGAAAATGGGATTTAAAAGACAGAACAATCTCACAACCAAGGAGAAAACTGCTGTTGTGAAATGCATGAAGGAAACCAAAAATCTTAGCTATCATGTGTGCATGAATAATTCCAGACAGACTGAGCAATATTGTGGAACAAAGATGACTTTTTAGAATGCAGGAAAATGAAGATGACTGTTACTGATGAATTGAATGAGGTAATGTATGGTTTTTTTTGCAGATACCAATCTTCTAACATTCCAATTTCTGGATCTATACTTCAGAAGAAGGCTCTGAAAGCAGCTTAGGAACTAAACATTTCCAACTTTAAAGCAAGCAGTGATGACTTCAAAAATTCATCCAATGTCATAATGCTCTGTTCAAAATTCAATGTGGGGAAAGCAAAAATATCAATTTGCATGTTTCCCATATTTCATTGTTACCTTTGCATTCAGAAACTAAAAACATTATTGGCAATTATGATCCTAAATATGCAGTATTTAGAGCAGCGATTTTCAACCAGTATGTTGTGAAAATTTTTGAAGGTTATTAAATACATTATTTTTGAAAGAAACCCAAAGAACAATAAATGTAAGTGTCAAAATTAAAACTATTCAATACTTCAAATTAATTATTTATTATATCAATGAAAAACTCGTATAATCATATACATAATGTAGTAAAAAATATACTAGACATAACACCAAGTTATTTCATTTAATCTAATGTATTTAGTTAAAATTATTTTAACTTAGAAATAGTGGGACATTGAGCAGGTTGAAAAACACTAATTTAGAGTAAAACTTTAAAAATTTCATTCAATGCAGATAAAATGGCATTATATTACAGGCAGCTGACAAGAAAAGGCTATGTTAAGCAGAACGAACATAGCAGTGGTAATAAACTTAAAAAATCCCACTATTGTACTTTTATGTTTCAGTGGTTTGGCAGAAAAGCTCATTCCATTTATTATTAGGAATGCTGCCAGACCTAGGGTTTCAAGAATGTTAATTAATTAAGATATAACCTTCCAATAATGTGGTATTAAATACAAATGCAAAAATGATATCAAAAATTTTCAGTAATTCGTTGCATCATATTAACAGAAGAATGGTTTCTGCTTTAAGGAGCCACTGCTATAATGGATTGTTCTATGGCTTTTGAGAATAATACTGAAATTTTTTCTTTCCTGATCACCATATATAAAAGGTAACACACTATCAGAGAGATTCCCAGAAATTGAAATGTTTGAATTTATTAAAACAAATACTGATTTTACATAAAAGTTTAAAAATTGTACTAAATATATACAAGGCTATAGTGAATCCCATAATAATGAATTAAATATACAAGTGTGTATTTATTATACACAAATTATTAACTACACTACAGCAAAATTGCACACAAATTAAGGTATGACTTCATATGAAAATAGAAACTTCAAAGAAATTACTACAGAATTATAAACTTTCATCTCACAGATCTAAACTGAAGTCCACATTTGGATAATCAGACTAAATTCTTTTACCTGTTAATGAAAGAGTCTGTCCTCCTTCAATTGCCGAAGCAATAAGAGTGGAATTATCATTGGGGAACATAGTTATACCATGTGTTTCTAACCATTGCAAGGCCTCTGTGGTAGCAGATGCTAAAATGGAAAAATAAAAAAGTTATAACAAAACTAAGACATTAAAATAATAGTTACAATGACTTCAAAAATAAAAAGTCTGCATGTGAATTATCGAATATATGATATTTAAAAATATTTATTCAGTGAAAAATAATTTACTTTGTTGCTATAAGTAATTGTAATTATATCAAATTCCATATTCAGTTATTGTGAATGTCAATTTTCGTATTAATTGTAAAAATATATGCAATTTGCCTATCTAAAGTTAAAAATTCTTAAAAATATGCAATATAAATTTTGTAAGCATTATTTATTTGAATTTTTTAAAGATATTTATTATGCATGATAATCAATCAATTTCTTAATTCATTTAAAGGTTAGAACCTCTGAAATGGAAAGTATTGGGCATGATAAAACAATATTAAATATTATATGCTATCCACTCAAATAATATAATAAGCAGAAACACTAATTAAAACTTATTTTGAAAACCCTATTAATACTTGCTACCTGTGTAAATTATTTCTCATCAAATCATTTATTTGTGATATCACTAGTTTAAAAAGTAAATTTCTGTAATATCACATTAGCTCACATAAAAGGCAATTTTTTCCCCTTTCAAAACTTTTGTGTCTGTCAACTGAAAATCCTAGCACATTGAAACCAACCAGTGGCAACCGAAATTGTCAGTGCTCTCTACAACAAATACAGATAAACGTAAGTCAATAAGAATTAACTATTTTACTTTTTATCTTTGTTTTACAAGTATATGATAATGTCACATATGCAATGGCTGTACTAATTTTAATATGAAGATTTATTTCAAAATAATTTTCTCAGCTGTTAAAAAGTGTTTTATAACAAAATTTCATATATTATTATTTATTATAACAGAAACCTTATCCCGAACTGAATATATATACAGTCGACCCCCCTATAACACGGGTTCCTATAGTTCGGATTCCTATATCATGGTGAAAAAATTGCGACAGTATTAGTACAAACATGCTAAAAGACTCCTATAATTCGTTAAAATGTCATCGCCGACTCGTGTTGCAACAGGATTGCACAAACCGTTGAGTTTAAACAAGCAGTGAACCTACCAATAACCATTTATTATTTAATGTCCATAAAAATTATATTTATATTAATGATGTCTCTAAAGTTCAGCAAATTTTTCGCAAAAAAAATAACTTATCAGGAAGCACGCGAGTGCCATCCGATGACAATAAGCTTAAGCAACAGCGTAGTCGAACGGTGTACACTCGGTAAGTAATCCTACAATTTTTTGTTTATAGCATAGTTTATATGGATTATTCCCAAAAGTTATACATATTTTGGAAATGTTTAGTCAAATTAGTCTAGAATCGATTAATTTTATGGAAGAAACCTTTCAAACAGCCGTAGTACGTAAACTGCATACGTGCCGGGCTGTGATTGGCTGGACTTCTAGAAGCTGGATTCATAAAAACAGGAACGTATCTACCGTGTTATGGGGGGGTTGACTGTATAATATTACAATGCTTCCAAACATAACATCCAGTTAGAACAGTGTTTTTCAACCTTCTTGAATACGCAACCCCTTTACAAGTTAAAAAATTCTGGCGACCCCCCTAGGGCCATATTAAAACTATATCAGTGATTTTAAAATCTATGTATTTAATTTTCTCTCTGTTGAGACAAATTATTGTTGATTAAAGTGAAAATTTCAGAAGAATCGACAATAACTTAACACACATAAAGTATGAAACTTCCTTTAATTATAACATTCGGTACAGGAAGATGTTGACCTTTTTTTTTTGTTTAGGATCAGAATTTTCAGCTTCTACGTTTCTACTTTTTATTTCTTTTTGCAGATCAGCACAACACTTTTTCCGCTATCATTTTCTGGGGTGGGCCATAATTCTCGCTGAAATTGTAGTTTTTTTTAATGTAGTGTAGGACCTACAAACACTTGTCTTTTTCTTTTACCTGCGACCCCCCGTGTAAGGCTTCGCAACCACCAAGGGAGTTGCGACCCACAGGTTGAAAAACACTGAGTTAGAAGAACAAAAAGATTTAATGAAAAACAAACGTTTTCAACCTTTACAAAGGCCATTCTCAGGTTCTACTATTAGAATGCAAACTGAACAAAAACAGAAATTTAAAATGATGTTTGTTGTATATGAACATTGTATGTACAGGAACACAGTAATAAGTTATAAATTAAAGCAATTATGGTGTTCCTGCGCATGTGATGTACAACAAACATTATTTAAATTTCTGTTTTTGTTCGATTTGCATTCTACCAGTAGAACATGATGGTGGCCTTTATAAAGGTTGAAAACATTTGTTCTTCATTGAATGTTTTCGTTCTTCTAACTGGATTTTAGGTTTGGGTGTATTGTAGTATTAGTTATTATAAAATGTTAAAAAGCTTAAGTTTGAGGTTATGAGTTTTATAAAAAAACTGTAAATGATGATAATAAGTAAAATCATTAATTTTGACCCCTCTCAAAATAGAGAGGTTCAAGTCTCATATCTTCCCACCCCCAAAATCTTTAAATAAAATAGACACCAACACACACATCTATGGAATTTCCCCCTTTTTATTTGACTTTTTTGAGTTCAAGGGTCTCAAAATGCAAAGATTTGCAAAAAGCTTAGAGAATCAAATTTGACATAATTCCAATTACGTAAAATTTTCTTTTGTTATGTATATGTTTGTCAAATTTTCTTTTGTTATGTCAATGTTTCTTTTGTTATGTATATGTAACAGCCAGGAAAGTAAAAATCTTCAATTACAACAAAAGCTTTTGTATTTTTGATACTGCTACTTAAATCATAAATATAAATTTTTGTTAACTGAAGTATCTATCCAGTATACGTTATGTTTTATTTATGCTTATCATTTGTAAAAGAATAAAAAAGTGTAATTATTCTAAGTTTGAAAAATATGGAACCTTTATTAAAAGTGGACTGTTTAAAATTTTATATATTATAACTTCTAATGTAACTTATTCCTGTTTATAAATATTTCTATTTCTTAGGGGATATTTTGCAACCAATTAATTATATTTATGACCATAACTTAAATATTTAAATTTTTAAATTCCATTCAAACTTTCAAATAAAAAATCATATTGGCATATCTTGTTTCAATTTAAGGAAATTTGAAAAATGTTCACTTTTGTTAAGTGTTGTTAGTTTTTAATCAAAGTTAAACGACAATGAAAAATAAATTTTTAACAAAATTTGACTGTAGATTACACAATTATAGGAGCACAAAACACAATTACAACAAATAAATATAATTTTATTGTGCAATGCACACTTCACTTTAAAAATAAAACATATAATAAAAAACAAAAGGAATTTGTTGGAAAGTTTATAAAAATAAAACAATATTCTCAAGCAATATAAAATACAATATAGATAAAAATGAAAACAATGCATTTAGAAATAAAATGTATTCATAATTACTGTTTAATTTTTTTTCATTCTTTTCCTGACTTGTTAAATTGCTTTAGTTATAACTTTCTGCAAAATTAAAGACACAAGTTGAATGAAGAACTTAAACTCGGAACACATCATTTAATAGCAATAATTTTGCTGTTGTTAAATATTGCATAAAAATAAGAAAATAATGGCTACATTTTATGTAAGAAAAATGAAAAAATGAAAAAATTTATTCTGGGATTAAACATATGTTTAATAATATAATTTTTTAGTTTTGTATTTCAGGATGTACATACTAATTTTGAACATTATTAATAATCTATAATTGAAACATGTATAAACCATGTGAGTTATCAGAATATTGCGAGAAAATAATGATTCTCCAGTTACAGTGGTCTAGTATTTATAAAAACTATCTTTAATCAGTGAAAATGTTAATCCTTGTTTTCAAAAGCAGTTTTATTTTTATAAATTAATATACATCTATATAGATTATATAATAATATGCTATTTTAAATATTTTCAAAAAATAGGTGAAATTAAATGTCTTTGTTATGTCCTTTCGCACAAGTGGGGAACAAAACTGTCTTTTATCAGTGAAGTTGGCATTTCATTAGAGGCTACTCATTCACCATAATATGCAAAACAAAAAATTAAAAAGCATTCCAGGATTATGGCACAGTAAAATAATAAAATTATATTAATTAACACATTAACCAGGATGGCATTAATATTTTAATTTCCTTCTATTTTTTTTAAAATATTAATGTTGTTCTGGCAAATGTGTTAAATAATATGCTATGTTTAACTATTTCACATTCATACATTAAAATTAAATGTAATATCCTTTATAATGATTCTGAAGCAATACTATTTTAATCAGATAATAAAGCAATTAATTTGACTAAACAGTTTACTCGATAACTAGCTGTACATTATCAACAATTACTGAAGGGAATATTCTATTTAATTTGTTCCAATCAATCCACCATATTATCACATCTAAAACTGCTCATAACAGTTTTGAGTTTATGTAGTATTGTAAAGTACATTAACAGACCATCAAAAAACCCCTTAAGTTGCTGAGATAATTTAATTTAAATGTAAACTAACATTTTCAGCCTATTCAATAGGCCATCCTCAGGTTAAATTTACATTTTAGTTTATGTTTTAATTATCTCAGCAACTTAAAGTGTTTTTTGATGGTTTGTTAACATTATTTGCTGAGCAACTTTTGCTAATTGTAAACTTCATTATCTGTAGTTGATTACATTGTATTGAAATACCATAACCAGCTATTTAAGGGTTAATTAAAAATACTAATCACCTAAGCATACAACATTTTATCAAACTACAAGGCATGTTTTTAATTAAATAAGTACCATTTTGATATTAAAAAAACACAACTGCATTTTTTAAAATAATTTTATTCTTACATGAAAGCCTGCACTTTAATCTACTTTTCAATATAATTTTCTCCAATATAAAAGCACTTTTCATATCATAAACTAACTTCTGAATTCCATCCTCATAGATACCCGCAGCCTGATTTGCCAACCACTGAGGCATGGCATTTTGAC